GATGCAGAGCGTGTGCAGAGCAGGGGGACGTGAGGAACAGTATTAAGAACCGCTGATTTAGAACATTGATTTTGAAACTTGTGAATCCATTAGAATCGTTAGAAGACAGAATCGCAATTCATATATGAATAGATTTTTACGTGCACCTCTAGTTTTCTCTTCCTCTTCTCTAAAGCAGCGCAGCATGGCCTCACCCCCTTTGCTGCCTTTTCCTGAGGGCGAGTTTTATCTGGGTTTGTGATGTCACGAACCTGGAAAGTAACTCATTGTAGTCCCTACAAGCCGTTTTTGTAGGCATTAAACTTCCAGAATTTTAAAAGAGGATATCTCCGTTTGCATTGAACTTTCAGCTTCGTAACTTTGCAGATATTGTTTATGCTCAAACAGCAACATTACACACTAACTAACGTGAAATCGCAATGAACCACCCTTTAAAGTAGCTGAACTACAGTCAAGTAAATATTTTGAGGAAACTAGCTACACTTAAGTAAGTGATAATGTACAATCAGCTGGTCATTATTGCAAAACATTTCACCAAAAATGGTTTTATTTTGAGATAATGACTAGCTGGCTGAACACGATCCCTTACCAAATTAATAACTACATGGACAAAAAAAATATTGATTTAAGTTGAAATTATTATATTACTAGTATGAGAGAAGAAAAGAGTGCAGAGTAAAACAGCAGACATGTAAGAGAAAAAAAATTGTTACATGGGACAAGATGAAAAATACAGCTTAACAGTTATTATACAAATTTATAGAACAGCAGAATGCAGAAACTGACCCATTAGAATGAAGTATCACACCGTGTCCTAACCAGATGTGATGATAAAAGTTATCTTTTCCATGTTAATCAGACTTTTTGTCCGAACCAGCAACAGAGATACACAACGAGCAGCTAAAAGCTCAGGTACTGATTGTGTTTTGTCAATTTAAATATTAAAATCATTTAATTTGAGTTTGAACATCGTCACTATCATTATGGCTATTAAAATCATGCACAATGGATAATTTATCTCAGATCTTGAAAATAACTTCAAGGACTCTGTGAACAAACAAGTATAACACTGCCTGCCAGCACGCTCTTCTGATTGGCTGTGATTTGTTATTGATTTAGTAGTGTCTTGCAGCTGTGACGCGTCTGGTGTGGAAAACTGTTTGTCGCTAGAATCTTATCACATTGCAACTGTGCATCATCATTTTGTGCTTTTCATTTCTGATGCAGCATTGGGCAAAGCAACTTTGCTCAATTTAAAATAGTTTCAGAGTTGTATTTATATGGCTCAAAATCAAGAAGGATCTCTTTAAGTGTAAAAGCATCAAAGGTGAACAAATACACTTAATACAACTAAAAGAGCATTAACTGAATTAAAAATAGCGACAAAATTATTTAACTTTGTATAAAAATATGTATTTGTACATAATGTAGTCAAATGTTGTACAGGGTTTTGTGAAATGATTCAGTGAAATTAGCTCTTTGAACAAATAATTTGCTAAAATGAATCAGATTTACTAAGAGTGCGCTTGATTACTGCCTCACTCAAAAAGGAAAGAAAATAAAAGAATAAAAGTTTGCTGTAAAACCCACCTTAAGGTCTGTAACATATCCTCTTTGGCTATGAGTGTCTTCAGTGATGAGAACAGCCTCTCTACTGCCAGCTTGTGTTCAGGTGAATATGCAGAGTCCTCTACACAAATGATCTACAAATGAACTAAACCATACTAGAAATGCAGAGACTGCTGGAAGATGGTACTGTAGCTTGTTTTACGTGTTTCTAGCTTGTTCTGTATGGTAAAGCAATCAGACTTTACGCTTTTATGGTCACTGTCAACCTGTCAAATTATCCTGGTCAAGCAAATTAGAGATGGTAGACCACTTTGAATTATGTGCAAAGAAGCTACAGTGTTCCTAATTCTAACTTCACCACCTTACACAACTACGGCTCATTTTATTTCAGAAAAACTTCTGGAGAGCAAGAAAAAACAGTGCATTTACCTCTTGAACTTGTGAGAGCATCGAGCAAGAGGCCGTTCCACCAGAAACAGCAAGAAGAACCTAAGAAGAGCAATTAGTGTGAAGGCCAGTGAGCAAACAACTCATTTAAGTTCAACTGAAACTGAGGAAATGAGCAGCCAGTGTAGATGTTGAAGGATCTAAGGATTATGATTCAGACAACAATCTAAGCATGTAGCTTCAAGAGAGAAACCATACATTTGCATTGTTTTAGTTTATGCTTTTCAAGCATTTTAACTCCATTTACAGGTTTCTCACTCTTTTCGGCCAATGAATTCCCATTGATGTGTCCTTTTCAGTCATTTGTGATTACTGGATTAGGATTTTTTTTTTAATAATCTTGATTTGCTAATGAGTCCTTCAGACCATTTTGTGAACCAATTGAACTGAATAATTGAAAATAACAAATTAAACATCACTGTGACTCCAAAAAAATCTTGGGGATAAAATATTTTGGAGCAGAACATAACTATAAAAAAATTAATGCACTTAATTATTAATAATTCCCTGATATTTTCAGGTTTTTCAAATAATGTGGGACTCATTTCAATTCCACTGAAACTGAGGAAGTCAAGAGACATACTATCTCTATATTACTTTTTATATCTACCTTCTCATGGGGAAAGATGACACGATTATTTCCCAACATGGCCCGCAATTTGTGTATGAAGTACTCCTTGAAGCAGGACCTAGTAAACATACAGACACGTTTTTTGACGAGACTGCATCACATAATTAATTGCACGTGACGCATTGATAAGATTAACGAATCGCCTACCGGCAAAATGCATCATTGACACGAATGATGAGCACAGCAGTTCCCTCCATACATTTAATACATTTCCTGTTAAGCCTGAAACATATGTCACACATAAAGAAGTTTGTGCAATTTGTCAATAAGTACAACAAAAATGTGAATCACGGGAGTACTGTAGTATTTTTTTAGTCCCACGGTAATGTGCAAGAATATGGTTGTGATTCAGTATCACGCCGTGTATCAAAGTACCATCACTTTACCATGGTACACTATGCACATTATGTTTACAATAAAGTACTGTGGTAGTTGGTACAATTATAGAATCATATCGGCAGTGATATGGTATAATTATCATCATATATATCCAAAACATTTAATACCATCATGGTTCTTAAATAATTGTTGTCACACAGCGGTTGTTCAATTCAACTCAACTCACGTCGGCACAGATATCTTCTCCGGTTTACACACCAGACCATTATATTCCTCTTCAACTTGACACATGACCGCTTCAAATTCACAACCTAAGTGCAAAGACAAAACGGGTCCAACCGTACGAAGCTTTTTATCAGCCTGTATAGCTGTGAATTCTCCCAATACTTATCCAAGAGAATCGTTTAACTGCCACATACTGGCCCAAGCTTGTTTTCACGTGTTTGTGTGTGCGTGTGTGCAGTGTATTTTCCTGACTCCTTTTGATGACGTACCGTGACCACGCCCATATGTTTGCGTGTCGTTTGATTACTTCGATGTTATTTACGCTATTTTTATGCTTTATTTCCACATCGTTTGACATTAATGGTTTAATGTTATCTGTTGTCTTAATGTATGATGTTTATTTGTATATTTATGTGTAAATACCATGTATACACACAACAACTTCTTGATTTGGAAAAACAGCAAATAAGCAAGCGCACTGGGTCTTAAGTTTGTAAGTACGCTAATTATCTTTTTTGTTTGTTTGTAAAATGATTTATTTTGTGTATCGACATTAAACTGTTATGGCATTCGTATGACATTTGTATATAATTCAAAAGGTAACAAAATGTTAAAATGCGTGTTGTTTATTATGTTTAATGTTATTTTAGCTATAGTGTAGATGTATCGTCTGACTTAGCGTTTTCAGTCAAAAAGTAATGTTCAAAATAATTGAATCACTATTTTATCATATACAAAAAAATATTATTAATTCCTATTTTTATTGACAACGTAGACCTATTTGACACATTCGCTACATTCATGTTGACTCCATCTATCTATGATCCGTGGAATTGCTATGAATGCAACATCTGGGAAATGTAGTTCTATTAAACAGCCACTCTGGAAAATGATCGCTGCAAAAACTACAACTCCCATCATTTTGTTGGTCTAATCGGATCGAGACCGTTCGGTTAAAGCTACCATATAATGTTTACTTCTTTGGAACAACGGCGTGTCCTCCTTGGTTAACACTGTTGGAGATCGCAGATGCGGTATCTAATGTCGTATAAATCACACTTTCCCTGCGAGACATTAGTTAAAACAACGGAATCCTATTTGCATCGGAAGTATTAGTTCATCCTGCGGTCTGTGTTCATGATGGCGATGTTCCGCAGTTTTGTGTCTGCTGCTCAGCTCAGGCAGCATCAGCAGCAAAATGGAGCCGCAGCAGCCGCACCTGGGGAAAGCCTGGAGAGCCAGTTCTCTTGTCCCATCTGTCTGGAGGTGTACCACAAACCTGTCAGCATCGCAAGCTGCGCCCATACGTGAGTATAGTTCTTTCATTTCCATTTAGTGTCTCTGTTGTAGAGGCAAAACATACATTTTTTGAGTGGTCACTTTGCATTCATGCATGTACACTTCCTACAGAATGTGCGTTAATTGCAAAAATATTTAACGATGTGGAGAAAAAAAATTCACCAATCCCATTGTTTTAGAGGACAGTAGATTAAATCCCGCATAACCACACACGATTTCAATATGAGTTTAATCAAAGTCCCTTTGTATTTCTATAGTCTTTGTTTGAATTATTTTATTGAAGATAAATTCTGTAACGTCACTCTTTAAAGATCCCTTTGTGCTTGCACGACTCCAACATCATGTTTCTTTGTCAGCCTTGTGACATAAAAAGGATTCCTTGATATTGTCATCTTTTAATTTGTTTATGCATTTTATGAGCTTACAATTTTCTAAAACATTTCGAGAAAAAAAGAAAAATATATTAATCCGTCAGTTGGGGTGTTTGAGTTTCGCTTACCATCTGTGTGCTGCGCAGCAGAACAAAGCGAGAAAGCTGCGAGCGATATTTCACATGTCTGTTTCGGTTCTTTTGAAGGAATCGCAAATAGGACTGAATCAGTCTGAACCGAGTATGAGTTATCAACTGATCTTATGTTCGTTTTAATTTGTGTGCGTTGGTTGGGAGCACAGCTGGGTTTACTGTAATTAAAATGGCAGTAGTTGATATTCGGTTATTGTGTTTGTAAAAAGCATTTATCCTGGTTGGAGTGGGACACTGTTGATGCAAAACTTGTTGGTAACACGAGGAGCTCAAACAAAGCGTTCGTGTTTTTAAGAACCAGAAATACGCTTGACAGGGTGCTTACGTGACATTAAAACAATCACTTAACCCCCACCCCGAATTCTGAAGTGAATCACTGAATCGGTTCCTGAAACAATTCATTCAGGCGAACGTTCAAAAGAACCGATTCACTAAAAAGAATGATATTTTTCGACATCAATACCCCGTTTCACGCAAGAGACTGTGATGGGGAAAAACGTTAAACAGCAATGTTCTGAAAGTCTCTTACATCATAAAAATAATGCTCTGTAATATACAATTTTTTGCTGAATTATCTTTTCATGAGTTAAGTGAATTCATTTAGATTTTATGTAAATTCTTAATAATGTTTACATTTTTATTTATTAATTTCTAAGTAATGTTTACATTTACATTTTACAATGTTATAGCAGGTATTATGAACTTACATTACATAAAGAAGGGTGATTGAGTTTCATTTGTGGAAAAAGTCATCTGGAAGTCACACTGTAGAATGACACATTGACAGTATTGTTACACGTAATTAAGGAAGAATTGAAGAAATTGTCATAGAGGAAAACAACAAATTTGAGACGAGTTCTGAATTTATATAATATAGAACAGTATCTAAAATACCCCACAGTTTCTTTGGATGGCAGAATTAGTCGCTTTTAGATCCATGGAGCAGTATTGTGCTCAATAACAATAGATGCATTTAGAGACACATTTGAACTGTCAGTAGTTTTCAATATATGCAAATGCTTTCACTTTGCACAAGTCTTCACAGTTCATCAAATAAAGGCGGCTCATGTTTGGATTTTATTTTCTATGTAGATGTTATTGAACAAGTCAAACACAGCAATTTGTGCCTTTGATAACGGACATGTTTTGCTGCTTCGCTGTACTGTATTTTGTGAAGAGTGAAGCTTGTTATCCTAAAGATAAATTGCTTTTCACCTGGAGGTCTGAGTAGAGCATTACTGGGAGGAGATTGGTTATCGCTGCCTGTTTCATGCTTAAACACCCAGGGACTGCCCTTGCCCTTTTACTGCCCTTTCAGGGGAAAAAAAATGAATTTTTGATGAGAAACACTGTAGCTTTCACACAGCTGCTGTAAACCTAAGGGATCTTTTTTTCTTGATAATTGATGCTTAACCCTGAAAAACCTGACATATGAAATAACAGTCAGAAAAATCTCATTTTTTGAAATGGAACGTTTTATTGAACCTATAAAAAGTTTGCATGTGTTAGGCTGTTTCATTATCATATATGCTTTTATGGCTCATATAGGAGAATATGAAGCTCATACTCAAATATTTAACAACTCGTATATGAATATAGTGTTGCTCACCTTAGCAAACATTATGTACTGGTTTAAGTGTTAGGAAATGTGAGTTCTAATGAGTTTTATGCCATTAAAAAGGGAAGTTGTCACTAAAGCACCAGCACTAGCCTGATAACAATAAGAGGCACACAGGCTTCACTTGTCTACATGCTCATTTTCTAATGCATCCCCTGCTCTGTCGAATACAGATTAGATGGTTTTATAAGTAGGTAAAAAAACGGTCCTACTCCTTATCTCTGTATGCCAACGCCACCATATGTTCCTGCCATAGTTACAGGTGAGATTGTAGCACGTTGATTAAACTGTATTGACCGCCTCATAAATAATGTGGGCTGGAGTTTCTGATGCTGTCTTTGGTTTTGTGCAGAACTGCCCACACTCATGTAACACATTCATAACACATTCATGGGTGCAATGCTGTGGCTTATCTCAAGAGTAGGAGGCATATGCCTGAAGATTGATCCTTTTTAAGCCATTCTTGTTTCCCCTTTCATGTTGCCTTATTTAAGTCAGAAAAGCTTTGGTAGTTTACCTGTGATCTTTAGTTCCACAAGAATCACGTCGGGTTGACACGAGGATGACTAAATGTCAACTGAATTTTTTTTTTAGTTAATTGTCCCTGGTCGTCCAGTAGTCATAACTGATTTGCTGAAAAGCAGTAATCTTGATTATGATTTGTGATCCACAAACATTACCTCTCACTAGGGGTGTGCGATATATATCGTCTGCGATAATATCGTAGAATATGAAGAATATTAAAAACATTAGGAGTCAGCTGTCTTCAGCAGTCCTTAAGGTACCAGCACAATAACACACTCAGCAAAATATTGTCTAATTATCGTTATCGATAAAATCCCATAAAATATCGAGATATAATTTTTTGTCAATATCGCACACCCCTACCTCTCACACAAACTCACTCATTTACACCTGCTGTGGCTCAGAGCTTTTTGACTCAGGGTTGCATTAAAACACATCTAAATGACAGATGCTTTAGCTGAATTTGAAGCCTGTGTTTGGCACTATTACAGCATTACTCTGTTTGTTTGAACATCCTGAGACAGCGATGTAGGCTCAATCTATTTGTCCATTTAATGGCGCCTACATTTGTTGTATTGTCCGGTTGTTTTGGCTATATTACTTTTTTGTCTCATGCAGCGCACTGCCTGCATCTGAGTAACTAAAAAAAAACAACAACAAACAAAAAAAGTGCATGTGATATTAACAGACAAACTACGCTCATATTTATAATTCCAAACAATCAGTAAGTGACAGGTGCTAGGAAACGCTGTTTTGTACTCATTTATTGACGAGTCGGCTGCGGTGCGGCCAACTGAATGTGCTGCTACTCTGCCGCTCACTGCACAGAACAGACGCAAAGTCGCTAGGTTTGTCAGTATGAATTTTCTATGAAAAAAAGCCGCTAAAAGGGTCTGAAAGTTGCTAAATTTAGTGCAAAAGTCGCGCTCGTGTGTGTGTGTGAGACGCGGGAGCTGATGGCAGGGGGCGTTCATATCATAACAAAAATAAACACCAGTATTCGGTATGAACCGGTATACCGCCCAGCACTAATTGTCTTGTTGTATTTGGTTGGTTATATTTTCCTTATTGTTAAGTCTTCAGAAAACTTGTTTTTAAAGTTAAGTGTATCAGATGGCTGGTGGAGTTTAGATCTTAAAGGTCCCATGGCATGAAAATTTCACTTTATGAGGTTTTTTAACATTAATATGAGTTCCCCTAGCCTGCCTATGGTCCCCCAGTGGCTAGAAATGGCGATAGGTGTAAACCGAGCCCTGGGTATCCTGCTTTGCCTTTGAGAAAATGAAAGCTCAGATGGCCCAATCTGGAATCTTCCCTTTATGTCGTCATACGGGGAAAGGTTACCTCCCCTTTCTCTGCTTTGCCCGCCCAGAGAATTTGGCCCGCCCATGAGAAAATGAGCTACTACCGTGCGAGGCGAGTGCAATATTTTTTTTTCCTCGAGAGACATCATGGCTTGCAAACGAGCGAAGCATGGCAGTTGCCCCGCCTCTCTCCTCCTCATTAGCATTTAAAGCTACAGACACAGAAATGGCACGTCCTAAGGAAAGCTCATTGTGGGACTGGCTCGTAGTGGCTGAAATTCTGCACCAAGGCTGAATTTCGGGAAAGAGACTTCAGATACAGTACTAGGGACCACTTAGGCCTATATAAAAGCATCCAAAAAGCAGCATGTCATGGGACCTTTAACGTTCCTGGATCAGTCACACAATCAAGCACAACACATGGTGCGTTCTCTGGAGCTATTGAATTATTCACCACAGTTAAATGAGATGCCAACACATGAATCCTGTTGTGTTAAGAATGATTGAGCGGGGCACTTAAGGTGAGGAAGAGACAACAGTGAGATGATTAAAGGAACCAGCAGCTGATGAATGAGAGAGAACGATGAATGGAAGTATAGATTTTTGAAAGGCTTTGCTATATCTCTTTTACAATTATTGACACCTCTAGAAATTATTAGGAGTAAAATATCTCTGAAGTATATTCCCATTTATATTTACAATTTTTAGCACACCAGGGTCGCTATGAACATGCAATTGTCCAGCTATGATTTCCTGTTTCGCAGGAATATAAATATGAGGGAAAACAAAGGCTAAATTCCCTTAATCATGGAGTAAAACCAAAGAATATAGTTCTGATGTGCATCAAAAGATTGTTGAGCTTCACAAAATAGAAAGTGGCTGTAAAAAAATATCGAAAGCATTGAAAATTCCCATTTCCACCATCAGGGCAATAATTAAGAATTTCCTATCCAAACAGAAAATGTTACACATCTGCCTGGAAGAGGACGTGTCTATATTGTCTTAAAGCAAGGCAAGGAGGATAGTTTGAGTGACTCC